TCCGGCTCGTCGACGGGCGTCGCGGCGGCGACGACGACGGCCGGCCGCCTCGGCGCCGGCGGCCGCGCCGCGGCCAGGTGTGGCCGCGGCGGCGCGCGCACGGCGCGCGCCGAAGGGGCGATGTAGGCCGAGGCGCGCGATGCGAGCGCGACGCAGGCGACGACGTTGAGAGAGCGCATGGCTCGATGAATCTTTGGACTGTTTATCGCCGTGGATTCGGTGCGCGGCGCGGCGTTTTACGGTGTTTTTTTTTGGCGCTGGGTGCTGTGAGAGGTGTTGGCACTCGCGTGCGGCACCTACTTGCTACGCGAAGTCCAATCGCCGCTGCGGTCGGTGCACTTGTCACGCTCGGCGCGAAGCAGCCGCCCTTCTCTTTTGCGCTCGAGGCTCCGACTCGAGCAGCTTTAAGTCGCGTGTGCATCACAACATCAAATTGGGGCGCGCGGCGCTTCGATACCCCCTCCGGAGTCCTGAGGTCGAGCCTAGGTCGTGCTCGCGACGCTCGGAGCACAACGCTGTCGTGAAATAGAAAAGAGAAGACGGAGGAGTGGCTCGACGAGGTCCGAGTCGCACGATCCGCAGGCACGAGCGAGGATTCGAAGCTCGTCCGCGTGCACGACGACGTCGGCGCGATCGGTGCGCCGGGTCTCCTCTAATCGAAGCCCACCCCAGTGTTCCAATTGCGCTTCTATCCCGCAGGGGCGAGCCTGAGCGCCCGGCTGCAAGGTGACGGCAAATTGAGTCTAGGGTCTGGGGCAAGGCGCGAACGCGCCACGCGCCGCGGAGCGCTCTCGATCTGCGCCGGGTCTCGCATCTGGGGCAAGGCGCGACGCTCCACACCATGGACGCGCCGTTCGTCGTGGACGACAGCGACGACGAGGTGGTACTCCTCGAGCGCTCGCCGTTCGCGCAGTCGACGAAGAAGCGCAAGGCGCGCGAGGACGACGACGACGACGACGACTGCGTGGTCCTGGAGCGGGCCCCGCCGCCGCCGAAGCGCGCGGCGGCGGCGACGATCGCCTGCGTCATCTGCATGGAGGACGTGGCGCGGTCGAAGGGCCGCGCGCTGGCGGCCTGCCGCCACGAGTTTTGCGTCGACTGCCTCGGGGGTCTGGTCGCGTCGCGCGTCGGCGAGCGCAAGCTCGGCGACCAGCTGGTCTGCCCGATCCCGGACTGCAAGCGGCCGCTCGACGTCGGCGACGTGCGCGCCGTGACGCTCGAGGCCGGCGACAAGGGCGCCTGGGACGCGTTCCAGTCGACGGCGACAGAGATCTTCCTCGAGCGGTCGACGTCGACGAGCGCGCAGGGCATGCGGCGCTGCCCCGGCGACAAGTGCAACCACACCTTCGCCTACGAGCCCCACGCGACGTCGGGCACGCTCTTCATCTGCCCCGAGTGCTCGGGCGCGTACTGCCTCGGCTGCCCGGCGGTCGGCGGCAAGGTCGGCCCGGCGCACAACAACGTCTGCGCGCACGTCGTCGCGGAGATGGAGCGAAACAAGGAGCTCAAGCGCAAGTACGAGCAGTGGAGCCTCGAGAACGCGCAGGCCGACGAGCGCTTCGCGGCGTTGCTCCGCCGCGAGAACGCGGCGGGCGCGACGAAGCCGTGCCCGCGCTGCCGCGTCCCCGTGACGAAGAACAGCGGCTGCGACCACATGACCTGCCCCTGCGGCCACCAGTGGTACTGGTCCAGCGGCCGGCCCTTCCCGTAGCGGCGCTAAGCGGCGGACAACCGCGCGGCGTCGTCGGAGGCGGGGGCGGGGGCGGTTCGGGACCGGTCGACCCGGCCGTGGGCGCGGTGCAGTGGTCGGTAGATATCGTCGCGGCGCGTGCACGCGTACGTGTCGCTTCGCTGCGGACTGCGCTGCCTCATTGGCCTCAACAAATTAGGATCGACAGCTTCAAAAAGTGCTTCAAACTTGGTTTCGATCGAAAGGCTGCCCGCGTCGTTCAGAGCCGCTGGAACCATGCGTGTGCGGCAT